CTCATTTTTTTTGTGACATTCCTTGGTGTCGACTTGTTGAGAGCGTGCCGGTTTATCGATTCTTTCGTGTGTATCGATCGATTTGTAATGTTTATTGGTTGATATTGTTGCATTTGTCATATATGCAAGAAGGAATGGAAGGTAAATTGCAGAAGTTTGAAGTTATGTTAGTATGTATGTACTTATGTGTGTAAGAAAAGAACATGTAGAAGTCGCATTTTCCCTTTCGGTGAAACTAGGCATGTAATCGAGCTCGTCTCGTTTATCACTAATAACGAGTCGAGTTCAAGCTTTAATGAGCAGATCTCAAGATTTAACGAATTGAACTATAAAAATTTATATAAAGATTCTCTTTTCAAACGAGCCGAACCGAACTCGAGCTTTAACGAATCGAGTCAGACTCGTTTAGTTTAACAGCACTTGGTGAAACTAGCATAATCGTGCTTCAGTTGACATTGCAATTAACGTATGAGACAAGTTGTAATCAATGGTAAATAAGTATTTGCGATCTTAACGGTAAATAATCAACACACGACTCTAGTTGTTAGTATTCGTGAAAGTATCATTGGGTCAACCAAAAACTCATAAGTGTTTGTGATCTAACAATAACTAATTAACACACCACTCTAGTCATTAGGATTGACTGTAACCTTGTGATACACATCGAATATCATCTTAGTATAGTAGACGCAGAACAAATTGAGTTCCTAACATATTTTTCAAAAAATTAGCACCAAAATCGAAACAGTGCCACCCTTCAGTTAACACAAAAATTTGCAGGAACCGAACCGCGTGTTATAGCGGTTCGACTAATACAGTTATTTGAGTTACTAAATTTATCATCTTAATATAGTAGGCGTAGAACAAATTCAGTTCCTAACATATTTTTCAAAAAATTAGCACCAGAATCGGAACAGTGTAATCATTCGATTAACACAAAAGTTTGCAGAAACCGAACCGCGTGTTATAGTGGTTTGACTAATACAGTTATTTGGGTTACTAAATTACAAAAAATAACTGGTAATAAATCGGTTTGGAGTTAAGAACTGATCAAAAAGAAACTCACATACTAAACAAATTATTAAAAATCGAGAGCTGAAATACAAAAATAAAGAGCCAAATTATAAATGCCAAGAACCGGAACCGGTGATGATATATAAAAATAAAAATTATGCATATATAGTCCGTGGAGATAGGGCTTTGGGTTGGGCCACTTGGCAGGCCTGTCATTAGGGAGCATTAATGGAGGCCCAAACATTAGTGTTAAACTGTTAGGGAAATTTATAAGCAATGATAAAGGGAGTAAATTTCTCAAACTGTTAACAAAGAATAAGCGCTCTTTCCCTTGGTCCATTATTTTTTCTTAGGTTGAAGTGAAAAGTGATGCATATACAAATATCATTCTAATTTGAAGTAATTGCAAACAATCCCAATGTTGTTCAATTGGGATTTATCATTATTGATCACATGCACTTAACACATATCTAAGTATGTGTGTTAATCCGCCAATATTAAATCCTATGTGGATAAAGTGAGAATAAACTAATTGTTCGATTGGATTAGTTTTCACTTTTTACAGAACATGCGATTTTTCGGTTTCAAAACTACGTCGAGAGTGGTCTACTTCTAGTCTGGATAATAGATATTGATGAGGATTTTGTATATTGGATTCATAACACGTGCAAAAAACCTTTTTTTTTTTTTTTTTTTANATATGAATGATGAGGTTGTATAATTTATACTATAGACTATAGAGTATATATCAAATGTTACATAATTGAAACATGTTAGGGCTCATAATTATGAGGCAAGTGGAGAAACATGGCTCTTGCCCGCAAAAAAGTTGGGCCATATATCATATATCCTAAATTTATATTTCAAAATTGTTACTTCTCACAATGGTGTGTCTAATTTTTTCTATTATTTTCTGAATTTATTTGGTTCATATTTCCTAGAGCTGTAAACAAGTCATACCAGATCAAGCTCATGATACTCGAGTTGGAGCCCGAGACTTTATCAACTTGAGCTTGAATTTGAGTATTAACAAACCAAATTATGTTAAAAGCTCAAAAAAATATATAAAAAGCCCTATTTCAAGCCTAAATGAGCTCGAGCTCTCGAGTCCAACTCTTTTGTTAAACGAGCTGAACATAGCTCCCAAGTAGCTCATTTCGTTTACCAACGTATTACCTTTTCAATTTTAGGTATTTCTAGTGCTATCCCGTCCACTTAGTCGCCGTCTTTTGTGATGATTTTTTTTTTTTTTTTTTNATTTTTTTTTTTTTTTTTTGGTATTTTCTTTATTGGTTTCGTTTGTTTTCCAAGCAGGTCCAAAATTGAGTATTTTTTTTAATGTGATTTTAGCCTATTCTATGACCCAAATATGAATTTTTGTCATACATTGTTTTTGGAGAAACCGGTCGGTCTTGGACTAAAATTGTAAAAATAAAAAAGTTAAAAAGGTTTCAATAAATTTTCGTTATCTATCTCATTACTTTCGGCCTGAGATGATAAAAGGTGTTGAACTTTTGAATATTAATTTTATTTTTCATGTCTAGCCTATACATCTAATCATACATATGAAAAATGAGTATATGTAGCCCACTCTATTTCTTTATGATCTCTTGTTTTTATACACAAGATTTTTTGTAGGTCAGATTCAAATAAAAATAAGTTTTAGTCTTTGTGTAATCAGAATGTATATGATGTTATTTTATTTGAAATGATTTTTTTTTTTTTTTTTTCT